CCTAATGCCGGGGGTTTAAGTGGAGAGAAAATGGTTTGAGAATGATGAAGGCAATGAATGTACAAATGCGCTTTACACAATTGATGTGTGTATGGACTGTGATAAGAGTTGTATGAGCCCCTAATAAAATGTTTTAAAAGAAAACAACAACAACAAAAAAGAATTCCCAACTCATGGGAAGATCAACTATACGACCATATAAAGGACAACACACGTCAGAAGAAAGGCCATCTTAGTCCTGTGGTTGCTATCACACATTTGAAATTCATAGGGAACCATAAAGGCATGTTCTCAGATCCTTCAACATCCAGGAGATTACATGTGAGAGTGAATGAGATGGTATAAACCCCAGTGAACAAGCACACTTTGATTTATTGCACTCTGCTTCATTACACATTGCACTTCCTGTGTTTGCGTTTTTGTTTTATTACAAATTGAAGGTTGGTGGCAACCCTAAGCACAATGAGTCCATCAGCACCATTGTCCAAGAGAAAACAGTCAGATCTTTCCTAAACTTGTGTCAAAAACCTGAAATCAGTCTCGAATGTGTAAGAGAGGGGGTAAGATGACTGTCTTCTGTGTTGGGCGTTATAGGACGGCGTTTCTGGAAGACTGGTGCTGGTTCAAAGATTCATGGCTAAGGTGCCATCACCTCCGTCCCGTGCTGCTCTTCTGAAGCCACCTGTGCCCACCAGGTGTTTGAGTGTCATTGTCTGCATTCCTTCCGCACCGTTCCCCAGCCACTCTGAGTGCACTGGGCGTTCAAAAATAATACGTTTATCACTGCTCCTTGAATTGCTTAGTCATAATCAAAGGGTTTTTGTTAAATACCGTACTGTGCTTGTGAAAAGAAAATTAGCTTTTTTACTTTCCTTTACTAATTAATAATTTTCCTGAGACACCCCCTTCACCTACTTTCCTGGGAAAGCAGAACAATAAACTTGCTTGCAGATGAGGGTCCGGCTCTTGCACAATCCCACAAGCCACTTTCGAATTCTCTTTAGCGTTCTCCTTATGGAGTAAACTCTTTGGATAAAAGCTCAGTTGTTCAGATTTTCAATCCTTTTCCCTTCTGTAAGATGGTACCTAGATTTAATAATAGACTTATATCACCCCTCTGGTTCTGGGTTGCAAGGGATGCTACCTGGCTTTATACCATGTTTGCATACAGTCTGGTTGAGTCCATTGAAATGGGTTTGGCTTATGTTGGAATTGTAAGGTTGCCCCCAAGGCTGCCATTGGCGTAGCTTGTACTGTTATTTCTCAATCTGTTTAGGGCCTAGTGGTATTTCCTGCTGGCTCAGCTTTCTCTCAGCCATTAGGGGCTCTGCCAACCGTTCAGAGACTCACCTGATTATTTTTGGGATCCCTATGCTTCTGCTGTCATAGCATCAGCCTCCATCAAGTTCACTTATCAGACTCCCCAGCAAACTTGAATTTCAAAGAATGCCCCAACTCAAGCTCTGTCAGAGCACAGTATCCCCACTGTAGGGTGGAAAGAGGGAGCCTGGCTCACTGTCCCTCTGGAGTTGCCAGGGGCAAACATGGAGCTAGTGCCCTTTTCTTTCCTCAGCCTGTCTCTCATGCCTCTCCTCTGACTCGAGAACACACATCCAGTACATATCTAGTACCTGCCCTGCCTACCTTTAATTCCTTGTTTCTAAAATATGCTGAGATGAAAAGAGTGCGTTTGGGTGTTTTCCTCATCCTTTTCCTTTAATACTCTACTGCATTATATTTAAGGAGCCCTGGTGGTGCTATAGAATAAGCATGGGACTCCAAATTTCAAGGTCAGTTGTTCAAAGTCACCAGCCACTCCGTAAGATAAACATAAGGCTTTCTACTCCCATGACAAATGACAACCTCAGAAACCCTATACACATCACTGTAAGCCTGAATCAACTGAGCTTTTTAATTATATGTAATCAATACACACACACATACACATGCACATTCCTACTCTCTGGCACAGCATTCTACCAATTTGTCTGTCTGGTTAACCAAATGAGAGGCATAAGGAGAGATAAATGGGGACCCTAACTGAAGAGGTACTTATATAGGCACATGTATGTTAGTCCTTCCTTATTTGACAATTTCAGAGTTGAGAAAGAAAAGTCTAGGGGCTCAGAAAGAAAATCATTGTAGTGACTTAATTGTTTTTTATTACTTTCAAATGAGATATGATTTTAGATTTTCTGAGTTCTTGGTACTCAGGTGTTGTCTCTGGTCAGAAGCATTGGCAACAATTAATAGACTCTCAGATTTTCAGACTTCTCCCTAGAACTGCTGAACTAGTATCTTCCAGCCAACAAGATCCTCAGCTGTGTTTTCCCATACCCAAGGCTTCTGAATGTTCTGGCTATATCAACTAACTATACCCATGGCTGGCATTTAGGAAACAGTTGTTAGCCAGTCCCCCTTGATGGCCAATGACTAGTCTTGCCCTTGAGTATTGAGGGTCCTATGAAGGATCTCTACAGTCATAGTAAAGGAATTAGAATAGAAATTCTAGATACAGTCTTCCCTCAACACCAGATAACCTTCAATTTTTTGACAGATCTATTAAGATTAAGTTGTAAGTTATGAAAAGTGGATGTTAATTTTTTTGGAAAGCAGTCATTTAATATATAACAGGAGATAGGAAGAAGGTAGCAATAAGGTACTCACTTGATAAACCCGGATCCATCCCTGAGGCTGCTGCTTCATTAGTCCTGATAGGGCTTTGCTCGGGTATCGTTGGTGATTTCTTTTAGGGGATGATTTTTGAAGGGAGGACAGTGTCACAGTTTTCAGTCTGCACTTTCATTTCCTGATCAGTGTTTTAGAAGGATCTGTAGTTTACGTATTCTGGAGACTTTCAATGGAGAATCACATTAATCCTTTTAAGCTCCTTATTCTAATGATTTATTTTGTTGAAAACCATAGTGATCCTCCTTTGAATTTTAATGATTGCTGGCTGTTCAAGGATTCATTGTTTTGACTTCCTGTCCTTACCTTTGTTTCCTACATGTCTGTGGGGAACACCTGTCTAATACTGGATCTGCCCTTGGCTCTCACTGGCTTACCAGAGTCACTCAAGCCTAACTCAGTGTTAAACTGAAATACTGGCTACTCACCCGTGATAATAAATGGAGGATATATGTTTCTAGAGATAGGCTATAGACAACAGAAGGACCGAGAAATGATTAAGTCATTTCCAACTGAAAATAATAATTTGGATATGAGAATATATTTTGATCACCAGAGAAATTAGTTAAATGTATTATGCTTAGTCATAAACCTATTAAGATTTAATGTGGATGGGAAATCTAGCGGACAAGAGCATGTCAAAGTTCAAAGAGCCCTAGCGGCAGCAATTGGAGCCCACAGCTGCTCCACTGTCTACTCCTGAAAGGTGTCATTCTCGGAAACCACCCTATGGGCCAATTTTGCACTGTCCCTTGGGGTCACTCTTTCTCAGAATTCTGAGAAACCTAACATAAGTCATTGACCCTCTGTTTTGCAGCCTTTCAATATGACGCTGTCCTTTCTCAGGGACGTCATTCTGTTCAAGACCTACAGATCCTCAACAATGTTTAGCAAATGGAAGTTGCCATTGGTATGTCCAAAGTCTGAGCATTGGAATCACATGTTATGCTTTCAAAGCCTAAACAATGGCTGGGCCACGAGCCGAAGTTCTTATTGTGCCCCCTGTGTGCCCACTCCGAGAATTTTCCCCTCCTCTTTTTCTCAGGTATCACCAAGGAACACCATGGGTTTTCAAGAATATATTATTCTAATATGAGATTTTTAAAACTACACTGTATTTATGCATAATACATTTTGTGCCTTATCTTCAGGCTTCTGGACTTTGATTCAGAATATCAGGAGCTCTGGGATTGGCTGATTGACATGGAGTCCCTTGTGATGGACAGCCACGACCTGATGATGTCAGAGGAGCAGCAGCAGCATCTTTACAAGGTTCGCACACACACACCCCCTGCCTTGACCTTGCTGTGGAAGATCTGCTTAGCCTGACAAGTCTCTCTCTCACAGGATAGCTGTGTTCATTGTATGTATCATGGTGTCTATTAGAATTCCCTTCCCTGTCCCCATCCTCATTTCCATCCCTTGTGTGCTGACAGGCTGCACCAACATCATAATTGCAAGCAAGTTCCCTTTATCACATTCTATTTGGTGTAATTCGACGGAAGGACAGAGATTTATCTTCAAGATGAATAGCAATAAATGAAACTGCATTAATGAATAGACTAAAAGAAACTGAAGGCTAAATGGGCTGGTAACATTGAACAAAATGTGTTTTGAGTGGAACACTCAGGTAGATTTTATCCATTCCTCAGGTCTTCCCAGAAAAAAAAAATTATGCCTTCCGTTTGGCTTGTCGCTGCCAGGGTACAGGACACATCCAATTTAATGTTTATTAGTGATAGATAAAGTAGACGTTGTCATATTAAGTCAATACATTTGCGTGTGATTTAAGAAAACTGGCTTGGAACTCATATTGATTGCAGGCAATCCATCTAATAAATATCTATATTGTTTTCCATGTCTGCTAATTCACCCTTAGCCTAGTGTATTTTACCAATTCCACTTAGCAAATGGTCTTAGGAGGCCCTACAAAACAGCCGTGCAATTTTGACTGAGGAGCTGCTGCAAGCTCCACAGTGCCTGAAAAAGCCGCCCGGGGGAGGGAACAGGGACTTCCCACTGAAATACCGGTCTGCAGTAAATCTTCCTCATTTAGGCAATTTTTATTGGAGTAATTCTGACAGTTGTCATCCTTGAATTGCTCTGAACATATGGCATATTTCAAAGAGCAGATTGTGAATCATAAAAAATAAAATTAATAACTAACCACAGAATCAGCAACAGTATAATGACAAGAAACAACTACCGGCTAGCTTTTCAAATTTTCCTGGAGAACAAGAAGTACATTCAAGGTCAAACCAAAGTTGTTTTCTCCCTTTCTTCAATTTCATTATTTTAGATTACTTCTTCTTTTCGATATCACCCTAGCTTTTACCTCTTCTGGGAAGGGGTACTTGTACTTTCCCAGGGTCTGGGCAACTTTAATCACTCTCCTCTGTATTCTTCTTGGTTAGGAAAAGAGGGAAGCTCCCCAGGCACTCAGCAAATGGAGGGGCATTGCGCTCTAGGGGATTTGCTTCGACATTAGCCGTGTTTGTGGAATAGTTGCTCTTTTCAGTATGGGGACTATGTCTATGTTTAATAACAAAACTATCTGATATCCTAGAAACCTTCAGAAAGTTTGAGGAAAAATCCCGTTAATCTTTCAGTTCCATTTTCCCATGAACTTTGTGAAATACCCTGGTACCTTCTGGCAAACACAGACTGTAACAGTCGTAGCCTAAAGGAACAGAGTGAGGTGATTTTACAGTTCATATCAAGGCCAATGATTATATATGAAAAATTCTATGTACTTATTTTAATGTAGGCGTAGAATAATATTTGTCTCATTACTAAAACTTATGCATCAAAATTCAATCCCCACAGCAATAATAAATATCAAAAAAATTACTTAATGATAAGTATGGCAGTCCTAATACCAAATGACATTTTTTAATCCATTTTGTTAAAAACAGTGCTATTTGTCAAAATCACATCCATGTAAATTGCATCACAATTAACGAATAATCATTGAACAAAAACACTGTCTTATTTTTCTTGTTATTTCCTTTTATACAAACTCTCTATGCCTGAGAATTCCCATGTCGGCACATTACACACCATTATTCCACCCATTGAGTACTTCTGAGCTGTAGCACTTTCCCAAATATTTCCTTTACTAGGGTTCTTGCTTGTGATTCTTGTCTGGTCATCGCCCTTCTCCTTTCAGGTGCGCAGCATCTCTCAGCTCATTAAGAAAAAGTAACTTTGCATTTGGCCAATGTTTTCCAGGGATCTACTGACCAACATCTTGGGTGGAGAAAGTTGGAGTCTTTTGATCATAGTCTTCCTACTATGGTAAGGTGACCAGACGTCCCGCTTTTGATGGGATAGTCCCGATTTTTTTTAAAGAATGCAGGACAAGCTAGGGAACAGCCTATTTGGTCCATATAGACCAAATTTTAAATCAAGAACACCCCACCACCACACCACCACCACCCGTCAATGGTGTCCCGCTTTAAATCTGGTCACCTTATACTAGGGGTCCTGCCTCCCTCCCAACCCTCCCAAATGGATTGTTTTTCCCCAAAAGCTATGTATTTAAATTTTTTAACAGAGCTTAATCACCTTCAAAGCACTCTCCATGACACTTAATACATTTGTCAAATCTGCGATTCCATTCTTGGAAACATTTTCCAAACTCATCTGTTTGGATGGCTGATAGCACCTCCTTTGGTTTTTTCTTGACCTCTTCTGTGTCATCAAATCGCTGTCCTTTCATGCCCCTCTTCATTAGTGGAAACAAAAATAAGTCACACAGAGTAAGGTCAGGTGGGGCAAGAGCGGCATGTTTTTTTATGCCCCAAACTGTCACACTGAGCTGGCTGCGCAAGCAGGTGCATTGTCGTGGTGGCAAACCAGTCCCACCTCTGCCACAAATCCGGGTTTTTTGTCACACACTGTTTTCAGAACCTCTAAGCAGAACGTGTCATTATCTGTCTGACCTGGTGAAACAAACTCCAGAAGCACTATCCCTCTCACATCTCAAAAACGAATGAGCATCCTCTTGATCTTTGATGTCACTTGATGAGCTTTTTGGGGGGTGAGGTGACGATGACGCCTTCCATGTCTTCCACTGGCTTGATTGATGTTTGCTTTCGGGGTCATAACAATAGCACCATGTCTCGTCAACAGTAATGATCTTGGGGGAAAAGCGCAGGTCACTTCGGACCTGTTCTTTCAAAGCACGGCATGTTTCCAATGGACTCTCTTTTTGCTGGTCAGTTAGAACCCGAGGCACAAATTTCACGGTGACCCTTTTCATTCCCAAATCTTGCATTAAAATTTGCTGAACCAAGATCCAAGACAGTCCAAATAACTTCCCTATCTCTTCAGTCATCTGTTGTCAGTCTTCGAGCACAAGTACCCAAATTTTGTCCATGTTTGCATCCATTTGGGAAGTTGACAGGCATTCAGAATGGGGCTTGTCATCAATCAACATTTTTTCTCTTTTGAAACTAGAAAACTACTCATACACTTGAGTTTTTCTCATAGCACTATCCTTGTAAGCTGTATTCAACATCACAACAGTTTCTGTGGCATTTTTCCTGAGCAGGAAGCAAAATTTCACAGCCACATGCTCTTCTCTTAAATCTGCCATCACAAAAAATGAGGTTCAAGTGAAACTGCTTTTGCGAAAAAATTCACTGTGACCAGAGAGAACCTTCCCAGGCAATACTACTGGGTGCGTTAACTCAGAGTGAGTTGCTGGATGCTTACCTAGCAGGAGAAATGTGTGCTACGAAAGCTCCACCCAACGGAGCTTTTTTCCTTTTTGGGGGGTGGGGTTAGCCCAAAATGCTTTATCCACATTTTTTATCATGGTCAACATTGACATTTTGAGGTCAAACAATTTTTTGCTACCTTGTGGGACTAACACCTGCACTGAAAGACAGCTTCAATTCATGTTCCCCTGTGTTTGTGGTAGCTCAACACAGTCCAGCTATTTCCAATACCTCTCCTTGATAGAGCAGAGTTTTAGCTCTTGGTATCTAAAACCACTGCTTAACTGTTGAGTTGCATTCTGGTATGGTACGAATTATGCATTTTTGCAGCATGACTCGTCTATCTCACCTTTATTCTCTCTTCCAAGCAAATGAGTGTATGTCAAAAAGTATTGCTGCTAAGACTCCACTTCATAATGCATGGGTACTGCCAAACAAAAGATGCTTAAACAGCCTTTGCAACAGTGAGTAGCTGCAGACTAGTTCTCTCAGCCATACATGTGTCCTCGTCTCCTAGTGTGACTTCCAAAGTTAAAAAAAAAAGGTCTTCTCCAAACAGTGGTGTCTAAGGTGATTGGGCGAGTTCAATTCAAAGCCAAGAATTCAGCTCAGCTGGTGGTAGCACCTGCTTTGGGAGATCCTACAGGGATCATCTTGATGGCTTTTCTTGAAAGACACGGTGTAACCATGGGGTCTTAGGATGAAGAAGTTTCAAGAAAATCCAACACTGCATTGGTCAGAAAAAAGGCCAAGGAGGTTGCACCATGGACTTTTTCTTTTCATTATTACACTGTACCTGTTCCCCCTTCAGGGTCAGCAAGGGCTACCCTCTGAGGAATTCCTTGGGACACATTGTTTCATCCACCCAAAAGCCCTGATCTTGCCCCTTCAGACTCATTTTTGTTTCCCAGCTTCAAAAGAACCTTGACAAAGAACACAGGTGGAGTCCTGTGAGGGCATCAAAGGTGCCATTTTGACACGGTGTTCACTGAAGATGTCCTGGGATGGGTTGGAGAAAGGGAAACCCTTCTTTAGAAGCATATACACCTAGGAGGAGGATTTGTCAAGAAATGATAGTTTCACATTTGGATATTTTATTACATAAGGGTTTGATTATTTTGCAGCAGTACTTTTTACTTAAACTCATTTTTGCTAATTCTCTATAAAGGACTATTTACTAAGAATGCCCCCCTCCCCATACTTATAGCCCTCCTTAATTTAGCCAATGTTCTAACTTCATTTTCAGGCACTAGACGAGCCTATCAATTTTTAATGTGTTTCATTGGTATCATGGTTTTAAAACTTTCATAGGAAAAATACTTTGTCCTTGTATTCTTTACACTGTTGAGAAAAAACATCTTACATAGTTGCAATTGGAGTAACAGTCATTGAGTAAAAGGATTAAGGTTAGAAGCTCACGATCCCTGGAATTAATGAAAAGGATGAGAGTGGAACTAATCGGAGACCTTCAGCCAAGTGTTGATAGATCCCAGGCAACGTTGGACATGGCTGTTATGTCACTCAGTGCCTTCTGGCTCAGGTAGTCCT